ACTGGAGTCTAGACCTAGTCAGTTGGTACTGTCCAGGTGGAGTGCATGGGGTTAAGGAAGGGATCTCCAAATCTTCTGGCCCATCAGAGAGTGGCAAACAAAAACAAAATAAAAAAGGAAGCCCTTCCATGGCATATGGCTCCCCTCCTAGCACAGACACCTCTCTGACTCAGCCTCTGCTGCATGATTATTCCAGCAATGACAGTGGCTCTTTCCTCCTCTCACCATTGCCCCCCTCCTAGGAGGGGCCTTCTGCTGTGGAGAGAGAAGCTTCTTGGCTATAAATGCATGTTTGTTATTCCTGGGTGGCAGAATATCTCTTTCGTTTTCAGTATTTTTCAAAATTTCAACAAATAGCATGTAAGTAGGAGAGGAAAAAAGAATTTCCCCTCTACCCTTCTAAGTTCTTGGCTGAGACTCCCCTATAATAAAAAAGATTAATAGAAGAAAAGCAAGCAGAAGTTTACTGGTAATAACATGTATGTATACCTCCTGTACTAGTATATGTGGGTAACTCCTCTAAATGGCCAAGCCCAGCACCTTAAATGACATCTTCAGCTAAAGACAAAAGAAAGATTTTGGAGGAGGGGCAGCTATGGGAGGTGACCAGAAAAAGCACAGTAAACAAGTATATGGTTATTATGCAGATTGAGCTCATTACCTTCTCCATTGATAAGAGTTTCTAGAGGTTTAGAGTCACCCTTCTGTTCCTGATACAGAGCTGTAGACACCCTACAATCAGAGATTTTCCTTACAAATGTAAATGTCCTGGCTTGGGGGAAGGGGATGAAAATGGGGGACCTCTGTAATACTGTCAACAATAATAAATAAATAAATGCAAATCTCCTTTTATTAAAAGTAACTTCTTGGTTTTTAGAGCTTTTCCTGTATCTGCTGTTACTGAAAAATAACCAGTTCAATATAATCCTTATGCAAAGAGGCAATTTTGGGGTGCCATATTCTGCTTCTTTTTATTTGCAAATGATAAAATTTGAAAAAAATTCAATCAATGTCATATTAAATATTTTCTTTTTGTCTGTTTAAGAGTTACGAACATGATCTCTTTGACAATTGGGGATTTCTTGTGTGTGTTTTTGGTTTTAAAACCCACTTTATTAGGATTAACATTTTCCTATACAAAGTTTTTCTTATCACTACTACCCGTGGGTATTATTCTCATTGCTGTCATCAAATATTTCTTGTTATTTAGTAAATGGATTTCAGCATAAATATATAAATAAATTGTATATATTTATTTTAGAAATTTTAAAATCCAAATTACTGGGAGTTTATAATTTTTCAGGTGTAAAGTTTGGCTTCCATAAAGGTCATCTTAAAACCAAAATATCTTTTAAAATCAGGGGAAAGTCTGTTCACTGAGCACTGAAAAAGATAAAAAATAAGCTGAAAGGAGGTAACTCTCTCCACTGTTATGAGTTACCTCTTGCACATATATTACTTTTAATCTATTTTAAATTAGCTTTTTATTCTGAGCATATGTTCTTGCATTATGCATAGCCTGTTCAATTGTTGGCAGCGATGCAGGCTCTGGGTTCTTGACTTTGTGCAGGGAAGTTTTCACAATATGAGCCCAGGTGATTTTGAGAGTACATTTATTAAAGCTGGGGGACAGGGAAAGCAAAGGAAGGGCTAAAATAGAAGAGGCAAGATTATATAATGGTAGTGAGACTAAGCATGGCTGCTTTGGCCCTTTAGAAAGAAAGTCACAGAGACAGAAGAAGTGAGCCAGCTGGCTGGGTGGACTCAGGAAACAAGTTACCAAGGCAAAAGAAGGGTCCTTGGAGAAAGAAAGCAAAGATATGTGCCTTAAGAAAAAAGGGGGTGGGGGGAGAGGGGAAGATACAGATGTGTGTGTGTGTGTGTGTGTGTGTGTGTGTGAGAGAGAGAGAGAGAGAGAGAGAGAGAGAGAGAGAAGAGAACAGAACTAGGTCCTTTGCCTTAAGGATGTTTACCTTTTTCCTAAAGGCAGTAATTATAGCGGAGTCTCAGGAGAGGATCTCAATAGAATATTCATCAGCTTTCCTGGTGTGTCCTTTCAGGGGTGTGGTCTCTACTGATTAATTGATGCTAGAGTAGGGGGTCATTGTATCTTGTCCTGAGGTCAGCCATGGCATTGCTTCACTTCATCTGGTTTTGCTGCTTTCCTGGGCCTCCAGCTGATTTGATGCTGATCAGAACCTCATTGTCTTAAGGTTTGAAGGAGAGGTCTTGCAAGGGAGAAGGAGGTAGGTGAGTCAGGGTGCTGGATCGGGGCAGTTTGAATCAGTCATCTGTCTCAGTCTCCCCATTCCATTTGCCAAGGAGTTTTCCTAGCCTCTTGCTATCCTGCCTCACAATTAGTCTTGGTATGCTGTGTTTTTACCCCTAATTGTTTCTCTTAAGATTAAAAAAAAACCCTTACATTAATATTTAACGTCTTTTTTGTTTTTACTGCCGAAAACCTTTTTTAATAGAATATCTTTCTTTATGTAGTTAATGATTTCCTTTTCAGTGTTGTTTTTAAAATTTCGACTATTTCTTTTATACTCAGGTCTTGGAAAGAGTTTTGCTATTACTTAGGGTGGGTGTTCTCTATCTTGGCACTATTGAAGTTTGGGGCCAGACGATTTTTTGTTGTGGGGAGCTGCTCTGTATATCATGGGATCTTCAGCAGCATCCCTGGCCTGTACCCAACTCCATTCCAAAAGCACCACCCACTTGTGTGACAACGAAAATGTCTTCAGACATGGACAAGTGCCCCCCAGGAATGGGGGAATGGGGGAATGAGGGTGGGATGGGGAGTGGTCCAAGTTGCTCCCTGTTGAGAACCACAGAGCTAGGGTGAGTTTTGGGCTTGTGTTACCATGTTCAATCATAAATTATCTACAAATTATTATCTGAAACAAGTGAACAGGCCTTTTGTAGCAGGATATTGTTTTCAGACAGTAGACAGATAAGAGCCTAGGAAATATCACACTTACTCAACAAAATGCCCCAATCACTCCTGTTATTTTCTTTCTGCCAGTGGCATCAAAAACAATTTTGAAAAAGCTTGGCTATGATGCTTCATGCTATCAATCAAAAAAAGGCCAGACATGTAACACCTCCAATTCTACTCCAGTATTCTAGCTTTGCCTGCTACGAAGGAGCAGAAATGTAAATGAAATTCAAGTTTACCTCTGTTAAAAACAAGACAGCTAGCCTAAAGTGGAGTTGCTTAATTACACTTTCTCTCCTAGAAATAGAATCTTAAACCAGTCAATCAGGTATCACCCAATTTGCACTAGTTAGGTCATCTGACAGATAGGACCCTGCACTCCCCTAAAGCAGCAATTTTCAACCTTTTTCATCTCATGGCACACATAAACTAATTACTAAAATTCTAAATAAAGGACACCAAAAAATATATGTACTAGTAGCCCAGTGCACAAAAATTTGTGCACTTGGGGTGTGAGGGTGACGGCTGGGGCCAGACCCCTCAGCCCGACCTGCACCCTCTGTCATGTTCCGGGACCCCGGCCACTCCTAGCCTAGGCACAGGCCTACAGGCTTGGGGCGGCCTGGCTTCCAAGGCCCTATTTTATCAAGAGAACAAAGTCGGTGTTAGTTACTGCCCTCACCGAATCCAGTACACTGCATCTGTGCATACAACTGCCTCGTTCATGTGCCTGCTTCGCCCTACTGAATTACTAACATCTTGAGGACATAGCTCTGTCTTATCCTGCTTCACCTTCAGTGCCTGTCCTGGTGCCAGGGACCTGAGAGGGTTTGCTGAGTGAGTGAATGAGTGAATGAATGAGCAAATGAATGAGTGAATGAATGAGCAAGTAAGTGAATGAGCAAGCAGCTACTGGTCGGGATAGTTGGCACTCCACTCTCGGCTGCCTGATGCAAACCCCGGGCAGTTCCCACCCTGCTCCCAGCGTCCCCACTCCTCTCTCCCAGCTGCATAGTTTGCGCAGGGCAAAGGCGGTCCAGGTGAGGGTGTTGGCAGATCGGTGCATTAGCACCTGCCAGCCTCGGATCCCCTGGGAGGGCCGTTTGTGGGAGTGGCCAGTGGTGGATCGCTGTGGTCCCACCCACCAACCCTGGGTCGGGTCCCATATGGGCTGCCTGCCGCCCAGGTCACAGATAGCAGGCCTGGATGGCAGCAGGGCAGGCAGGATGGCGCTGTCCCGCCCTGCCTGCAGTATGCAAATTAGCCACCATCTTTGTTGGCAGTTAATTTGCATAGCTTCCTGATTAGCCAATGGGAAGCATATCGGAGGTATGGTTAATTACCCTATTTGTCTTTTATTAGATAGGAGGATAATATTTTTTCCCAATCTGACAAAAAATAGGTATAGTTTTCCTTTTTCTTTATTTTATTTTATTTTTATTTTTACTTAAAGGGAAGGCTTTATTATACACCCCCTTCCACTATAAGAAAAGGGTCCCCCTCCCTAGCTACCCTCCCATCCCCAGAACACACACACACACACACACACACACACACACACACATATACACACCTACTAAGGCATAGCCAGCGTGGGCACAGGCTTTGGCAATGAGGCCCTAAGGGGGCCTGGGTCTGACCAGCTGCTATGTGGGGTGTGGGGTGTGTAGTGTGGGGTGTGGGGTGTGGGGTGTGGAGCTCAGCACCTTTGGAGTTGGGGTGGAGTGGGGGGTGACCAAGAAGTCCCAGGGCTCCCAAGGAAAGCAGAAGAAGGGAAGTGGGAAGAAGTGGTACAGGAAACAAGGCAGGCGAGAAAGCAAACAGGGCGGATCACCAGGAAAGAACCGACTAGGGAGGAAAGGAGAAAGAGAGTGAGGAGAGAAAGACAACATAGGGTGTGGGCAGCCAAAGACGCAGGAAGGGATGGGGACAGAGAGTACGGAACGGGGAGAGCAGGGGACAGAAATGGGAGAGGAACCCCAGGGGGAGGACATTGGAGGAGATCAGAACCTGGTAGAGACACCCTCGCAGAGAAGAGGGCATCGGGAGCTCCGGGACAGCCTCAGACAAAGCCCGGGTGGGCCGAGTACACCAGGTCAGCCACGTAGGCCAGCAGGTTGATGGCCGTCAGGATGGCCACGGCCAGGCGGCGGTCCCAGGCACACACGTAGTGAACGTGGCTGATCGTGCAGAGGGAATCCCTCCTGCGCTCGGGGATGCCGCCATACCTCTGGTGGAACTGGTAGAGAGGCCAGAGGACCATGGCCGAGGCGTAGAAGAGGACGGAGAGCAGGGCCAGGCCGGACAGGAAGCTGGGGAGGGGGATGGGCAGCGCGTTGGTGAAGTCAAACAGGTTCAGCAGGATGGCCACGGCGGCCAGGATGAAGCAGATGGCATAGACGGCCACGCACCACTCCAGCGCGGGCTTGTACTTGTACAGGTAGGGGTCGCTGATGAAGACGAAGATGATGCAGGCCACGACGGTCTCCACCACCTTGAGCAGGCCTGGCACAGTGGCCATGTAGCCCGTGATCTTACCCCGGGTCAAGGACACCTCGGTGGCATAAGCCACACACGCGATGCAGGAGAAGACGGTGGCGGCGATGGCGTGGCCCCTGGTGCGGCCGTGACCCAAGAACTGGACGTAGGTGGTGGGGTAGATGATGGAGGCCGAGAAGCAGAAGAGGGTGGCGTAGTAGGCGTAGATGATGGGGAAGTTGGGCCAGGAGAGCGGGAAGCGAGCCTGGAGCCCGCCTAGCTCCACCACGATGATGATGAAGGTCACGGCGAAGCAGAAGCACCAGGCGAACATGCACCAGTCACCCGAGAACCCTCCATATGCGTTCACGCTGGCTACCAGCGAGAAGGCCACGCAGGTGGAGAGCAGCTGGAGCAGGCGGCACAGACCCTCAGGGGACCCCAGGATGGTCGTCACTGGCATGGCCGTGGTCTTAGCTTGAGGACCCCGACAAGCTGAAGTCAGACACCTGGAAAAGGTTAGTCAGAGCATGAGACGGAGAGAGAGGACGTCAGTGTCCAGCTCAGCCAGCTCCGCCCTCGGAGACCCAGGTGACAGCCCAGCCCAGGAGAAGGCTCCCCCCTCCGCTAGGAAACTCAGCAGCAGCTCGGGCCACACCTCCCCCCCACCCCACCGCCCCCAGCCCCCCAAACGCGGGGGTGAAAACCAAGGCCACTGGGCAAAAGTCAAAATAGGTATAATTTTGATACAGACAACTACTATTGTGTTGGCTGTTGTGATTTTTTTATTTGACAGTCTAAGGCAGCGGTTCTTAACCTGTGGGTCGAGACCCCTTTGGGGGTGGAACGACCCTTTCACAGGGGTCGCCTAAGACCCATCGGAAAACACATATATAATTACATATTGTTTTTGTGATTAATCACTATGCTTTAATTATGTTTAATTTGTAACAATGAAACTGGGGGTCACCACAACATGAGGAACTGTATTAAAGGGTCGAGGCATTAGGAAGGTTGAGAACCACTGGTCTAAGGGAAAAGAGGTCAGTGCCCTTGACTAGATAGGCAGATTAGGCAGATATTTCATGTTTTAAAAATTCTTGCCACATCCCAGTGTGCCTGCCATGACACGCGGGTAGAAAATCACTGCCCTGAAGAAAAGTAACCTTGTAACAACCAGCCTGATTTTTTGCTGAGTTATAACTTCCTCATTCCCGTTCCCTCTGACTATAAAGTCTTAAACACCTGAATGGTTAAGCCTGGCTGGTGTGGCCCAGGCCCAGTGGTTGAGCATAGACTTCTGAACCAGGAGGTCAGGGTTCGATTCCCTGGTTCCATCATCTTGTAACCTTCATCATAGTAGCCTTGCACTGTGGTCAGATATGCACTTACCTGGTTTCCCACCACCTGCCCCTTGTGCTAGATTATAAAGTACTTAGAGTCTATCTGCTCAATGAACCTTTTCTCTGAAGCATATACTATGGTGGCTGACATTAGTCAGGGCACATACCCCAGGTGTGGCCACGATCCTCAGTGTGGGGTGTGCAGGAGGCAGCCAATCAGTGATTCGCTCTCGTCATTGATATTTCTCTCTCTCTCTCTTTGAAATCAATAAAAATATATTTAAAAATAACCTTTTTTTATGGGAGAAGCTAAATTGATTATCTTAGACACTTCTAGCAGCACAGGTTTTTTATTTTTAAAATAAATAACTTTTTAAAAGTACATAATAGTTCTTTTGAATGAAAATTTTAGTTAATATTTACTTATTTAATCCACATTTATTGAGCTATTACTAATGTCAGCCACCATAGTATATGCTTCAGAGAAAAGGTTCATTGAGCAGATAGGCTCTAAGTACTTTATAATCTAGCACAAGGGGCAGGTGGTGGGAAACCAGGTAAGTGCATATCTGACCACAGTGCAAGGCTACTATGATGAAGGTTACCAAAATCACATTTCATGTTTGAGTTTGGTAGAAAAATAGATGATTTTCAGCTAAGGGGAATCGGCCAGCTGTATTTGAGATCCTTCTAAAGCAGCGGTTCTCAACCTGTAGGTCGCGACCCCTTTGGCGCTCGAACGACCCTTTCACAGGGGTTGCCTAAGACCATCCTGCATATCAGACATTTACATTATGATTCATAACAGTAGCAACATTACAGTTATGAAGTAGCAACGAAAATAATTTTATGGTTGGGTCACAACATGAGGAACTGTATTTAAAGGGCCAGAAGGTTGAGAACCACTGTTAAAGCTTGCGTAGCCCTGTCATGTCATGCTGACTCAGTTGCATTCCAGATGTCAGTCAGGTTAAGGACATCCAGTGGGCACAGTAATTCAACATATTTCTATGCCTTTAACATGTCAGGTAAACGGCCTTTAAACATTTTCAAGATCCAAGGCAGAAAGACCAAGGGAGAAAATAATGCTTGGGTATTTTTTTGTAATTTTTAAAAATGTAATATGATCCTTTCTAAATCAAACATGCTCTTAAAATATTTATTGGTTTGAAGTTCTCAAAGTATTTTGGAGGAGATTGAGGGAAGCATTTTTGGTAGAAATTTGGAAACTAATTATCTCATAGCTTTGATGGTATTTATATGCAGTTTAAATATCTGTGAGCTTTCAGAGAAGATACCAGATTCTTGGAAAAATTTCAGTTCAAGGGAAGTTGGCAAGGATTAAGGCACTTAGTAAGGGTAGAGAGGGGACTGGTCAGCTAGGTTATATTTGGAAACCTTCATTAGGGGAAGGCAACTATGAAGAGATGCAAGAGGCAAAGAAAAAGAGTGAAGGAAAGAATTATATCAAACTTGCGGGTCGAAATGACAAATGCAGAATGCAATGGAGTATAAAATGAAATGAAGAACATGATGGATGATCAAAGAGATTCATCAGATATGGAAACCACCCATCTATATTCCTTCATGTTCCCTTAATGCCAGTACATACATTTTCAAATTTCTGACATCTTTGTTGCATTTTCAGATGTCTGCTGTCTTTTTTGAATGTGAGATTGAGTCACCCAAAACTTTGACTTTACTTGTATAGGGTAGCAAATGACTAATTAGGTAACAACTACAAAGTACTAAGAGAACAGAATAGTTTTAATTTGTTTACGAAGCAAAAATATATTTTGTATCACATGGAGCAGCGGTCGCCAACCTTTCGGACCTCATGGACTGAAAGGACCACTGGTTGGCAACTGCTGACATGGAGCACACCAAAATGCTATGACTGCATCTTTGTCTTACAGATTGCATTCCCACCTGGAAACTACAGTTTAACCAGCTGCGCCATGCCTTAAACACAGAGGCCGATTAATAATTACCAGCTTGATCACCTGAATCATTCATATATTTGTTCAATAAGTACTGGCTGAGCACTAGTATGACCAGGCACTGTTCTAAGTACTGGCAACAGCTGAGTGAAAAAAACAACAATATTTGATGAAGCCAGTGTTCTAGTAAAGATGTTAGATTTGAAAAGGAACAAACAAAATACACACTATATAAATGTATAATGTTAATAGTAAAGCAATATGAAAGAGTAAAACTGGACAGTGGTTAGAGTTAAAATTGAAGTGGAGGAGTCGATTCAAGTAGCAAGGTTATGGAAAGTCTTTTTTATGAGGTTTGTCTGAGCAAAGATCTAAGAGAAGTGATGGAGTGAGCCATAACTAATGGAAGAAGAGTGAAAAGGGAGTGTACTTGGGGAATACTTAAGTTCAGCCCAGGGCAGGAAGGAATAACAGGGATGGGAGATAGGGTGGTGAGGAGGTATGGAGGTGTCTTCAGAGACACCTCAGGAGCTAGTGAAGACTTGTAGGACGTGCTAAGATTTTTGATGTCGCATGGAATGTGATGGGAAGCCCTTGCTGGGTACTGACATGACTGGACTTACATTTGAATAGCACATCCTGGCTGCTATAGGAGATGGATTCAAGGGTAAGAAGCAGGCTGACAGGAGGCTATTTTGATAGTGCTGGGACACCATGATGGTGGTTTGAACGGGGATGGTGGGGGTGAAGCTGAATAGTAGTAGTGAACTTTGAAGAATTTTTTAATACACTGACTATAGATATGAAAAATTAAAGTCTAGGATGACTCCACAGATTTTTGTTCAAGCAACTGGATAAATGAACACCTGGTTTACTGGCATAATGAAGATTGGGAAACTAGCAAGTTTGGGGGTGTTGTTTGCTTTTGGACTGGAACAGTTTGCAATGACTGATAGGTATCTAAGTAGAGCAGTCAAGGAGATAGTGTGACATGTGATTCTTGAGTTCAGTGGAGAGGTTAGAATAGGAGACATAAATGGTGGCCTTGTCTGCACATGGCACTATGTTATGTGTTAACACTGCTTCTGTTCTGCTGGACAACTGAGTTCGCTCTGTATGGAGGACTCACAATACGCAGATTGTGCTTTGCTATCCTCTTTAAAAATCATACCCTCCCACCACACAACTTAATCTATTGCTCTGTAACAGAGTTCTTCATTTCTTTCCTCTCAGTTATTTGAAAAACAACGGAGAATTCTATGTATTGTACTAGGTGGCCACAAGGACAAGTTCATGCACCGCAAAGGTGCCAAGTGAACAATTATGGAGCATCTGTAAGGGCTAAACTTAATAGAATTGAAAAGCAATTCTAAAGAGCTCCCTAGGCTAACTCTCCCTTTGTGGAGGATGTAACAAGGTCATTATATCTAACACTTGGAGTGCGGGAAACGAGTTAAGTCGGCTCGCGTGAATTGCGCGTACTCCGCGGGAGCCGTCTTTAACTCGGTTCATATAGATTTGCGGTGGAGTGCGGGAAACGTGTAAACTCGGGCCGATTGTAACTGCGTATTACCAAATATTTGTTTGTAATCCACCCTTTTGGTGGATGGAACAAAACCAAAAGACAGAGCCATCTTATATTTTGGCGGGAAATTCACCCGCACTCCAAGTGCTAATTTAGCTCCGAGGTCATTCTGAAACCAATCTGACCCAGTGTAGCCTGGATTGTTTTCTATCTAACAACCCTAAAGTGACTCCAGGGGACGTCAACAGGATGTAGTCACTAGGGAAGTTCAAAGAGAATATACTATGGATATCTAGTAATGTCATTAAATAACTTTTTGGGACATACTTGCCTGGGCCCCTCCCTCCTTCCACCTATCCTTGGATTCGACTCAAGAAAATCCACGTTTTTAAAGGGTTTACACCTTCACATTGAAAGACTTCTTTTGGTGGATACATTTTACTGTGTGTGTGTGTTTGTGTGTTTGTGTGTGTGTGTGTGTGTGTGTGTGTGTGTGTGTGTGTGTTGGAGGAAGGGAGGGACATGTGGGAATGGAAACTTTTCAAGGATTTGTTGTATTATTTATATCTTTCTGCTCACATATATATATATAGGTTCAAGTGATATGCCTTCTAGTATTTGCTCAGATTGATAGAATTGCCTTCCCCCCCCCCCC